ACACGTACACTGTAAGCACAAGCGGCATCAAAAGCACAAGACAACATTGCATGAAGATAGATATTAAACAGGGCAGGAGCTAAGACACAGCCTTGCTTGGGGCAGTACGCTTTACGGCGCGTGACCACAGAAAAAGACTTAGGTATCATTGTGCAAGAAAGTCTGGGGAATTCGCTCCAATGTTCCAAAGCAGCGAACGTGGCGAACATGAACCTGAGACTTTTGAGGCGAGCTTTTGGTGTTTTTGAACGACGGCTGGTACCCATGCTTGTCAACTCCTATATCCGTCCCCACGTCGAATATGCCGTCCAGGCTTGGTGCCCATGGTTAAAACGAGACATTCATCTCTTAGAGCAGCCCCAACGAAGAGCTACCAAGGCAACACGAGGATTATCTGGTCTCAATTATGAAGTGCGTCTCAGTTTAATCGGGATGTTTTCCTCCGAATACCGACGACTACGCGGAGATCTCATTCTCGCATACCGGATATTAACGGAAAGCGATCACCCGTGCAAATCCCTGCTCACCCTAGCCTCATATAAGCGATCGAGAGGTCATAACCTAAAACTGATAATCCAACACTCCCGATTAGACTGTAGAAAATATTTTTACTCTCTTAGAATCTGTTCACAATGGAATGACTTGCCAACGCATGTGGTAAACGCTCCGAACATTACAGCCTTCAAACAATTGTTAGACATTCATCTGAGTGACAAACAACACATTGTGGTGTAATGTACCAGGTTTAGACTATTGGCATTTCAGTTCCATGTCGGAATCTAATGATTTGTACTTATTTTGCATTCACCATCCTATGGGTCTTGTAAAGCCAATGCTTTTTATCCCATCATACACTATTGAACTATATTGAACTATTCACACCAGAGACAATTGCAAAGTCATCCCAGGTTTTCCATTCAGCTGCACCCTAGCCCGGATACCACTGTGCAGACATTCAATTAAACATACAAACTTACGCGGGAAACTAAACTTACCCAACACCAGCCACAATGCCTCGCGGTTCACCGTATCAAATGCTTTGGTGAAATCAACAAAAAGCGAGCACAACGGCTGGTGTCGTTCTCTGCACTTCTCCTGCAACTGACGAGCTGCAAACACCATACCTATAGTGCTGCGACCCGAACGGAATCCACACTGCTCTTCCGCCACGTTTGGTTCCACAATCTGACTGACGAGGCGGTTGAGCAGGATTCGGGCAATCACTTTGCCCACACAACTCAGCAAGTTGATGCCACGATAATTCGTGCAACATTGCTTGCCCCATTGACCTTGTAAAGTGGTAGCACAAGCGCATCCTTCAGCTCAGCAGGCACCTCCTCCTCAATCCATACGCGTTGCACCAAGTGGTGCAGCGCAGTCAACAACGCAGGTCCACCGTGTTTCAATACTTCAAGCAGGATCCCGTCGGCCCCAGCACACTTGCCGTTCCGCAGCTGAACAACTGCTCTCTGCATCTCTTCCGGTGTCCGCCAGAGGCCTTCACATCGTGCTGCTTGAGACCGTTCAATGTAGGCCTGTCGATCTCTGAACGGTTGTTCAAGAGACAGCCAGATCTGGATTATTCTGCAGTCTGTGTGCAGGCAGCGCCTGAACTATCATCGATCAGCGTCCTCCGCGGCTCCAATCTCGGTCCATACACCGTCTTCAAGGAGTCTAAGAATTTATTGTGTTGGCGGCGTTCGGCGTAGCATTCCATCTGCTTCGCCTTCTCCGTCCACCATGCATTTCTAATGCGACGGAGCTCTCGGGTCAGTCACCGTCAAAGTTTGAGAAACTGACTACTCTTTCCTAAGTCACTGGGGTCTGCCACATGTGCAGCAAATGCTGCATTCTTCTACGAAACCAATGCGCCAATCGTCACATTGTTGTCATCAAACCAATCAGGTCGCTTACAGTTTGCGCGCCCGATGGTCTCATCGGCAGCAGCTGTCACCTGGTCGCGAATGTGGTGCCACAGGTCGCCCACTGTGGCTATACAGTCCACATCACCACACAGGCGTGCAGCCATCGCCTTCTCCAGCTCAGTACGTTTCGCCACAGTACCGAGGGAGAGAATGTTAAATTTACGCCGATTCACGGCGGGAGTGCAATACATAAATTTACAAAAATATTGGTACAGTTTGGTCCGAAACAATTTGTGATCAGTGCCACACTCAGCTCCACGCAGTACACGTGTCATGCGCACTTCACGCATATCACGCTGACGTACAATGACATAGTCGAGCAGGTGAGCGTGACCACTCCGTGGGTGCATCCAGGTTGCTATTTCACTCGCACTCAGTGCAAACCGAGTGTTCGTGATCGTCAGGCCGTGAGTGGCACACAGTGAGAGCAGCCTGTCACCGTTTGCATTTGCTGAACCAATGCCATGCGGACCGATAACATCTATCCACGCCGATGCATCACGCCCAACGTGTGCGTTGAAATCACCCAGCAGAAATAGTCGGTTGCTCTTCGGCACAGACCTTTCATAGAGGATAGCTGAATGTAGAATTAATCACGCGTCATCAGGATAACACATGATCGGACAGCACGTGCTTATAAAAGTAGCAAACTTACCTCTTCTAAGTCGTAGGCGAACAGTCATCAGTCGCGCGCTGATACCTGCTGGTTCATCCACGAGCTGGCCATGGAGGAGATCGGATATTGCAAATCCGACCCCGTGACCACGTGGTGCTGAGGCGGCGTTGCCCACCCAGTAGAATGTGTAGCCAGCACCTGTTTCATGCAACTTACCTTGCTCAGCGAGCCGGGTTTCAATGAGCGCCGCAATATCGAGGTTGTAGCGCGCCAGTTCCATCGCGACTAGTGCAGTGCGTCGCTCGAGGCGCTAACTCGAGTTCTGGTCCAGTAGTGTGCACACGTTCCAGCTTTGCGCGCAGGCATACGATTGTATTGGTGGGCAATCGCACGTGAGATGGTGGTTGTGCTTCGGAAGTTTGCTTGAGGGACTCCACCCGGAGCCTTTGGCTCAATAGCCTGGCTTGCCGAACAACCTCCTCGTGGTGCCAGCTGGGTGGTTCGGCGGCAGTGTTCCAGGACGTGGTGGGTTTTCGCCTGGCAAACGTTCTCCCTATAAAAAGCCACATATGTCCATTTAACAACACTGTGACGTGGCGGACGTGACTCGCCACTAACTAAAGTCACTGCTTCATTCTGGCGAAGCATTGTATTCCAGCAAGTTTATGCTGTAATTTTGGGGAGCATTGGGCCACTGTCTGACAAAGGAACAAACGAAAGGCGTATGAACTGCGCAGTCAGTCACCGGCTCCCAATAGCCGTGATTCCCAGAATTCGCTCCGCTGCCTTGCGGGCAGGCTATTCAGCCAAAGGCTCGGGGTGGTGTCCCCTAAGTCAACACCCTAATTCGGCTTGGGCAACCGGGTAGTATCTCGCCCTCTGACGAAACCATGGACTTTGATGTGTTGTGTTGTGTTTTCTTTTACTATTTCTGTGCCTTGTTTTGAGTTCCATGGTTTCCGATGGCTCAATGTCTATTCATAGACTGTTGGAATATATATATATATATATATATATATATATATATATATATATATATATTTGCTTGAGGGACTCCATCCGGAGGGTTTGGCTCAATAGCCTGACCCACAAGGCAGTGGAGAGCAGATCCAGCTCAGGAATGTGATTGCAGAGACAGATTGCGATATGCTTGACGGCGGTCACACGCAGCCTTGGAGGTACTGGAACGATTCATGTATGTTTTGCGACCGTAGTATGATACAACTGCAACCACGGCCAGACGCAGGTGGGTTTTGGCGGGTTTGCACCAATTTGACCAGGGGCTGCCTGGGTTGAGGCGGGCAGTAGCAAACCATTGAAGACCCGGAGGTGCCCTCCCACCATCAGAGACAATGCGTGGCGATCGTGCTCTACGCCAGTCGAGCTGTGAGCCTATAACCCGTAGACCTGTTGTCTCCTAGGGCTAGGTTTCACGGTAAGAGGGTCATCGACCACTTCCTAACCTCCGAAGAGGATGGACTAGGATACTGGCAGGGCACCCACACCTGACAGGAGAATGACTCGGGTCCTCAGCCAAAGCCTTCGATTAAATGTACACCCAAAAGGCAGCGGGTCTAGCACATGGTCAGTTCACTGACTCATGCGGATTGGTGTCATGGATCTTAGCAAGGAAAAGGGCGCAACCTAACTCCCACCCAGCAGTCGCCACGAGGAGGCGTCCAGAACATGAGACCATGGCACAACAGTAGCAGCAGTGGGTAGACCATCCGTTAGGATCTAGCCACCACCAGCCTCAGCGCAGCATAGGCTCTCGCGTCACTGTGAATATATATATATATATATATATATATATATATATATATATATATATATATATATATCACAGGACTAGGTTCCGTCACACATCCCTAGTAAGCCGATCTACTCTTGGGAAATAGAAGTTATATGTAATTTTTAGTATGTCTCTTTTATTGATAATGGCATGTGATCGCCTTTCAGTATCGTCAGTGTTGAATGCGTGTGCGTAACCGCTGAATATTTACTCTTCCAGCATGCGTAAAAAAATCGTGACCTAATCTTACAAACTGAAATTTCAGACTATCAAACCGAGCAATAGCTTTACAGGTCTATCGTGTAATCAAATCACCGGTTCGAGTCCGCACATATGCGAGTGACCATACGGTATACACAGCCCGCTCGCGACTGTCGGTGAACACGTAGAAGCGAAGCGTCGGTACGGTGTGCGAGCTAATGATGACGATAATCGAGAACCAAAAAAACAAAAGCCTGTTAAGTGAATAAAAGTGGGGCTCCAAAGTAAAGAATGACACTAGCGTGAAATGTTGCGCACAAACTGCCATGTGTAGATCGATTGCATCAAAGCGCAGTGGTGCCCATAGGAGCATGAGCGTCATAAGTGCTCTGAGATGGGAGCGGATGCGGCTTGTCAGTGGATAGGGTCATCAGATATAAGGGGATAATAAGGTTGGAATACTCACTTTGAAAACAAGAGGCGTCTCACGGAAGCGCAAGTTTTCTGTGGGAATCATGCCGTCCAAAAATATGTTGATTCCCTCACGGACAGAAAATGGCATGGTGACAACTCCGTAAGCCCCTGGGACCCCATACAGACAACAAATGAAATCAGACAAATAGTCCAAAACAGACAGATCATGTTCGACCACGATAACGAAGTTGGAATCCTGAAATTAAACGGATGATGTAACACCCAAGCAACAACCCACTTCCAAGAGCTCGCGAATAGCAATAGCTGTCTTTAACCGCTGTTTCACATCCAAATAGGAACTGGGTTCGTCAAACATGTAAATATCGGCTTTTTGCACGCATACCATGCCACATGCGAAACGTTGTAGTTCACCACCAGATAAATCACTGACCATTCGGTCGGTCACAACTTTCAAGTCTTTAAAAACATAGATAAGAATGAAGATAGACGGATACCCAGAACTTCCAGAACGTGATCCTGATTACCTCGATCAGACTTGCGTTCTAACAATGACTTCACACTGCCCGAGACGATTTTAGGGATCTGGTCTACATATTGGGGTTTGATCACGGCCTTTAAGTTGTCTTCTAGGACTTTGGTAAAGTAATTTTGCAGCTCCGAACCACGGAAGTACGTAAGAATTTCTGTCCAATCAGGTGGATTCTTTAATTAAAGAAAGAAAGCAACGTAAGAAGGTTAGCCATGGGGAGGAACAGTGTGGGATAGGGATGCGTTCCTCAATTACAAGGTGGAGAAAAGCAATGAAACGTCATAATCAACGCCACCATCATCTTAGTCAGCAATAGCAACGCAGATACAGCAGTACGGATGGCATAACACTATACGGTAATGAAATGATAGGAGATTCTAACGCGAATACTAAGAAGACAGACAAAGGAGACGCAGAGTAGGATTGGTTGCAATAGAGACAAATCTATAAGCAAGTCGCATTAACATTGAAACATCGTATGTTGGTGGATAATTGGCTACGGTATGAAGATAAGAGGCATCGCTGGGAAAGCAATAGTGCTTTTCAAAGGACTCAGAAGCATACGTGTACAGTACGTGAACAGTAGGCTGGTTCAAAAAGAAAAACAGTAAACACCCCCGGTGTAGGTTGCATACCGCGTGTTACGTTTACAGTAAAGCGCGAAATGGTTGTAGACTCTCACCAAGAGAGGGAGATTGACCAACAGCAGAGAGCAGCGAAACCAAACCCTTTGCCTAGGGTGGCGACACACAGAACCTACGAATTTAGATTGGGATAAACTTTCCTCTTCCGCGAACTACGAAATGGGATCTGTTGTTCCTTACAAAAGAACCACAGACTGCTGCAAATGAAATGTACGCTAACTTCCAACAAATCCCAAGCACCCTTGCGTCGATCGAAGAACAACCGAGTAAAAATGTTGCATTAAAAACGCCGCGGTTACTAAAGCAATTAAAGAAAGCAGGTACTCAGATTAAACGGACGCTTTATTTTTCTTAATTGTAAAGATAGCACAAGCTACCTCCTGAATTTGAGTTAAAAAGGGCACGGAGATTACTGGCTGAAGAGAAACGAGCTCTAGAGTCTACAAACATAGCTGGAGACTTAGTCAAAATGATGAAGACACGAAATGAAATCAAACATGATACAGTTTTCGCCATTACTCTATCAGACAAAGCTCTGACCACACAATAGCAAATACTCTAAATAATCACCTTATTTCAAAGTTCATCGTTCCATGTGACGTATATACGTCCAAAACAACCATCAGCATAGTAAAACTGAGAACAGTGACTTACAACAGCTGATAATCAGCACCACATAGACCGACTACGACCATCCTCTTATCCTGGCCTAGACGGTCTATCAACTTCCTTGTAAAATACGGTGGCCATGATATTCCACTTTTACTCTTAAATTTGTTTACCATGTCTATGGAGTCGAGCATTTTTCCAATCCAATGGAAACTCGCGCCGGTCAAGCCTAGGCACCAAAATGGCCCAGACATACGAAACTACCGGCCGATTAGTTACACTTCTACTGTTGCGGGAGTAATGGAGCGAATGGTCAAAGAGAAAACAATAAACCATTTGCTCTCACAAACCTGATTAATCAGACTCAGCATGGTTTTGTACAAAACGATCATGACAAACATGCCAGCTGGAATTCCTGAACTGTTTGTCGAACTCTGTGGATAATGGCCATGCAGTTATCACCATTTTCATTGACATGCGAAAAGCATTCGATAGAGTACCGAAACGTTACTTGTAGGGGAAAATATCACAATTTGGCATCATAAAGCCCCTGCATCATATCTTACTGATCGCACTCAACAAGTGCAAACAGGTATTCATAGGTCGTCATCGCTGTCTGTTACTAGTGATGTGATCCAAGGAAGTGTGCTTGGTCCACTGCTATTTTTGATGTAGCTTAATGACATAGCAGACGCTAGTAAAAATGGCACAAGCTACCTTTTCGCTGATGGTATTAAGGTACTGTACACGTTTAATCCTAGAAATCTGGAACGCACTTTACATAAGATACGGAGACTTATTGGCTCTCGAAAGATGGTGTAACAACTGGCAAATGTCATTCACTGCGGATAAATGTGGGATATCAGCGTATCGATGCAAAACTGATATGGACATGTTATACCTCTGTGAAAAATCAAATCCATTCCGCGACACAATAAGAGACTTGGATATTCATTATTCGAGCACGCACAATTTCGGGGAGTAGCCAAAGCCCGTCAAACAGCGCGATTACTCTTCAAATCACTGATATTGCGTGATTTCAAGCTGCATATGTTCAAGATCTGGAATACTGTTCGATGATATTTACTAGTTGTAGGAAACACGATCGTCTATGCTTGGAGAAAGTGCAGCGTCGATTCACCAAAGCCCTATTTACCGAGTCCCCAACACGAAAGTATTCAGAGCGCTGTATACAGCTTAAATTAGAGCCGTTGTGGTTAAGGAGGTAGAAACTGGGCTCGTTGTTCCTGTTCGACTTAGTGCACAAACGGGTATTTGTCCCGCACACTAGCATACACTTCATTCAGAATGGAAGGAATAACATTAGGAATAAGAGAAATTCGCTTCCCACAAGTAGAACAAAAACAAGTACATGCAGGAAGTCTTACCTAACGAAGTACTCGGATACCTGGAACAGGCTACCTACTGAATTGCGACTATTTGAATCTAACCAATCGTTTGGAAAAATGCTGGATACATACCGCACTGTGTTGCAAGTCAAAGAACTTTGAAACTGGACTGAAGAGTGGAGTCAATGTATGAAGAAGGGTTCAAGTATAGGGACACTGGGACAACTGCACGATAATATATGCAAATTGTATGAACAATATCTTCCTCGTTTAGTTAAACAATTAAATCTATTCCCATTCCAACATCGCATTATCTCGCTTTTCGCCGTGCAAAACTAATGTTCCTTTCGCACGTTACATTTGCTGCGCACTGCTAATTGTTATCTCTTCTTTTCTGGAGAAAACACTCGAACATAAGTGACAGTTCTTGTTGCTCTCTGGAGTTCACTTTCCACCAATTACTCTACAACTCGATTGTCTGGAGTCGCTGGATCTATCTCAAAAGCGTTCATAGAGCCGCTTTTTCCTTATTGCAATTTTTTCTGTATTCCCTTTTTACAACCTGAAGCAGAACTTATCAGATATATACCACTTATTCATCATTATTTGTATTTCGTCACCCTCTTTTTTCTATTGTTGAATACGACTGGACCGATCGCCTGAGGTGATGGAATGAAGCTCCTGGATTATTTAACACACCCACTGTGAGGAATTGTCACAGACCTATTGATGAGAAGAAATACGCCTCCTCAAGGCAAATTGGCACATACTCATCGAGTTGAAAAGGTGTCAGACTTGAAAGAGTTAGAAGCCGAAAGGCACTGAGTGAATTAAAAAGAGTAGTAAGAAACGAAAAACATGGGAGCTCACTTATATTTGCGGGCCTATTATTCATAATATATAAGAACAGCCATAAAAATAAGCCAGTAGGGTGATGGCTCGCTTGCTGTTATGCCACATGGACATGAAGCCAAATGGGACTTGGAAGTGTGGAAGAAACTTTTTGAGGGAATACTCCGCATGGAAGTAGGTCCTTTAGGAGTCGGTTATACAGTTAGCCGTATTAATTCTATTGTGCCTTTTTTAATAAGCACTTTCGTCCTGCTTTTAAATTCTCCTTCTTTGTAGCATTTATACCAATTGAACTCTTTATCTACTTGATATTGAACTCTTTCGGAAAATTTGAAATAACATGTGCACTGTGAGATCACGTTGTACCATTTGATCAGCACACATTTTGGACTGTAACTCGCATAGTCGAGAAATAGGCATACCTTTTCTGTAAGAACAGTTGTTGTGTCCAAGCAACATACTCAACCCTAGACTCAGCAAACAAAGCATAGCTCTTCATAGTTATATGGTGGGTGAATAAATGCAGCAAAATAACCGAATTATGGTAGCTTATTCATACTTTCAGCACTCAGTACTTGTCCGCGTGCCCCAATGGACGCGATTCCTTGAATTCGCCCCGCTGCCTTGCGGGCATGCTGTTTTGCAAAAGGCTCGCGGTGGTCTCCCCCAAGACAACTCCCTACTTCGGCTTCGGCAACCGGGCAGTATCACGCCCACTGACAAAACAATGAATTGTTCCTCTGTTTTATCGCGCAAAGTTGTCTTAGCTTATACTATTTGCTTACGTAATGCACACGCCAGCTGTTCACTTGTAACCAATCACTTTTATCTGTTACCAGCTGATTCCTGTTTTCACGATTCTACTTCCGATGGTTTCGTCGACGCTCACAGAGCTCGTCCAGTGACCCTACTTCGGCCTCGGTCTTCGTTCCGTCTGGCATGTTTCAATATACGTACACTCAGGCAAATCGGGCAGCAGACTGTTCTTGCGCGCAGCTTGGAATCGCTCGCCAACAATTTCTACTGCCTTTCCGGAACGCGCCTGCAATATCCCAGTAAGAAGCCATGTTTCACCTATGTCTATCTGATGACACAGAAGCAGCTGCGGCAGGTTTGGGTGGCGTTTGTGTAGCACTTCGCAGCAAAGCCGTGGCCGCGCTGCAGGGCTGAGTTCCGATTAATAGCCGACTGTGTGCATTTCGGCTTCGGAGATCATGCAGAATCAACAGTTGTCAAAAACACCCTCATCAAAAACACACATGACTATCAGCTCCTACAAAATCGCTGATTGGGGCCTTTTTGCAAGCTTGATAAGATCGGCGCAGTGGGACACATTCTTCCTCGCTAGCGACCCTCAGACTGCAGCAGATGAGTTATATAACAACATCCATCGGTCAGTAGATGTGTCGATTCCGCGAAAGCATATAAAACTACCTGTCTCTGGAGAAAGGCCTACACAACACAAATTAGCTGTAAAGCTCAAAAAGTTGCTCAAGGCGTATCGTAAATCCAATGACTTCTGTTTCTTAATAAAGCACCAGCAATTGGTTACTATTAAGGAGAATGCCAATCAGGCCATGCTGATTGATAAAGAAAAACAAGCACTCAGGAGCCAAAATAAAAAACAGGAACTATTCAGATTGCTTAAGCGCAAGACCGCTAAACAGAACCTAGATGTTATCTCGCTTATGTCTGCAGCTAAATGCTTAGTGAGTGACCCGACTTATACCAGCGAAATGTTCAACAACTACTTTGCTGCCTCGTTTAATGAATGTAGTGATCCTGCGACCCTGGATCTGCAACATCACACGAATGATCAACTCAGCAACATCACATTCAATCTGTGCGATATCCAAAAGCTCATAAAGTCCACTAAAACCTCCTATTTCACTGGTCCGGACAATCTCCCATCTGCTGTCATAAAATTCGGGGGAGATGACATCCCCTTGCTGCTACTGAATATGTTCACCTTATCTATGAATTCTGGTATCATATCGGCTCAGTGGAAGGAGGCCATAGTGATGCCCCGTCATAAATCAGGTTCACTGTACGACGTAAAAAACTACCGACCGATTAGTCACACATCAGTATTGTCTAAAATGATGGAGCGACATGTAAAGTCGAAAACGCTTGAATTCCTATTAACTCGAAACTTAGTAAACAATTCACAGCATGGATT